GGGAGGGGGCGAAGGGCCCGCGCGGCTTTGTCTGCCCCCTCCAGCAAACATTGAGGCGGGGGACGCGCCATCCTGCAGGGCCCAAGGACTCCGGGGTGGCCGCGGTGCGGGCTTGGGGCGGGCAGTGGGGGCGTGGGGCAGGGTGGGGGTCGAGGTGTGGTAAAAGGGGGCCTTGGTGCAAGCAAGGGGGAGCCAGGAGTAGTGGGGACCCCGAGGTAAGGAAAGGGCATCGGTAGAAATAAAGGCACCTGCCCTGCAAAGAACGGGTAGTAAGTAGGAATGGGGACGGAGGGGGCCGGAGAGTATACAGTGGGGTCAAAACAGGTTGAGGCGCGCCTCGATATGAGGAGTGGGGGCGTTCCCGGCCTAAGGAAAGTGGGGTCTGGGAGAGCAAAGACATCTCCAATGAGATGGAGGAGATAGGAAGGAAAGGTGGGCTAGGTCGTGAGGAGGTGCCCAGAGCCCCCTCTCCCGGGAGTTCCTGGGGCTTGGCAGCCCCGGTTTCGGGATGAGAAAGGATGACGTCCTCCCGGCCCGGGGGTGGGGTGGGGGTCCTCCCACAATCCCGACGCCGGGAGCGAGGGAGGGACGGTGCTCATGGTTTCGGCGTGAGCAGGAGAGAGTCCTCCAAGTCACCCCGGTTAATACCTTTCCTCCACTCCAGGTCTCATCGCGGCTCTGCCAGGACCCGGAGCCCGAGCCCTGCCATCCTGGCTTTGGCGCCCAGAGCTACACGTTTACGGTGCCCCGGCGGCACTTGGAGAGAGGCCGCCTCCTGGGCAGAGGTGAGGGCGCGCCCGTGTCCCTGGGTGGAGCGGGGTGGGGTTGGAAAGGGCCCGAGAAAGTGCTCCCACGCCCCTGGGTTGGAATGGGTAAGCTCCCTCCGAAGCTCAACGACACCCCTTTGGAATTTACACAAAACAGGGCTCTATCTAAACTTTTACGGCTTAGCAGCGCTGTGGTTGAGGGGGTAGCCTTGCTTATTAAGAGTTTCTCTATTGTCCTGAGCACTTTAGAGACTATCTCATTTCAGACTGCAAAACCTGCTGGGCAGGAACATTCCCGTTTTATAGATGAGCAAACCGAGGCATAGAGGGTGATGTCCGCTTGCTCAGGGTCAGCAGAGCAGGAATTTGAACTGGGATCTCACTCCTCTACCCCACAATGCCGCTTGTCTGGGTTGACTGAGGAGACGCCCTCTCTTGGTTTCCAGGGTTGTAGCTTTTGTTCCTGGAGATGAAAACATTTTGATACAGGTACAGTTTCCCCCAAGGAATAATGATTTTTTTTTAAAGCATGGTAACTCTGACTCAGGGGATGAAAATGCACACAAACATCCAATGTAATTCTAGGTCTTATCGCTGTGATAATCTAGAATTTTCTTTGTCCCATTCTACTATTGCCCAGGGCTGGGAGCAAGGGAAGGGACTGGTTTCTCTTCTGGTTTCACGGATTCCTATATGCTTACTTTGTATCAAACCATTTTCTCTTTCTTCATGATTTTAGTTGATTGGTGAATGTCATAACAATAAAAGAAATACTTTTTAAAAGGAGAAATCACCCACCATTCTCCCAAGGGAACACTTCATTGTGTTTATTCTTTTTTTTTTTTGAGTTGGAGTCTCACTCTGTCACCGAGACTAGAGCCACCGCAGCCTTGACCTGCTGGGCTCCGGCAATCCTTCCGCCTCAGCCTTCCAAGTAGCTGGAACTACAGGCGCACGCTACCACGCCCGGCTCATTTTTTGATTTATTGTAGCGATGAGGCCTCCCCAAGATGCTCAGGCAGGTCTCAAACTGGTGGGCTCAGGCAATCCACTCACCTCAGCCTCCCAAAGTGCGGGATTACAGGCTGAGCCACTGAACCCAGCTCATTGTGTTTATTCTTTCAGCCTTTGACCTTGTGAGAAATCTGCAGTAATCATGCTGTTTAAGTTTGTTTTGGTTTTTTTTTTAAACTTTGGAAGTTGTTCCAACAGTGGGTGGCATTTCTTTCAGAGACACTACAGCTTGATTGATGAAATATATTTGCTTTTTGAGACTTGGCTGTGTGCGACGAAGCTTTCTATTGGACCAGAAAGAAAGTGTTGTCTGCCTGATGTTGCAGCGGGTCGGCCATCATTCAGCTGTCTCCGTTGCATGTTCCACCCCAGCCTAGTCCAGGGAGTGGACTGAGGAGATGCAGGGATAGGGATGCTCCGACCCTGCCCTTTGTATTTCACATTCTAGCAGGTTGCTGAGAATGTCCCAGGACCCCCTTTGAGGGCACTGTGGGATGGGGCAGTGAGGTGTGAACGGTATGGGTGGCCTGGGATGCTTTGATTTGTCAGTGGACAGTCAGGCCTGGTTTCTAGGAGGAGACAAATGAGATCCAGCCTTGAAGAATACAGTAGCGGCTGGAAACACACGTGTGTGAATGTGTGTGAGGTGATCCAGCTCAACTGCTGATCACATTGTGTTCCTGCACCAAGACATTTGGTAGTGCCAAGGGTGGGTTGGTGTGGTTTTTATCCCCCTCCTTTTTGTATCTGACCAATAATATTGCATGTCAATATTAATACTTTATGATAATTATTATTAATAGCAGCTCCTGATATTCACTTTTGCCCCTGACTCTGGGACAAGCGCTTCACCTATTTTACCTCATTTATTCTTCGCAAGAACCTTAGGAAGGTGGATACCATTATCTTGCAAGTAAGGAAACCGGCATAAAGTAATTTGGTGATCTACTAGAAGGACCCACAGTTGGTCTTTTTCTTTCTCTTTCCCCTCGATAATCAGAAAACAAAACAAAAACAAAGAAAAAAGGTGTTTGGGGAATTAGTGTCCTTTGCTAAGTAGATAAGTAGACTGAGAACAGAGGTGTTGATAGGGTGGGACTCCTGGGGGGGGTGGTGATGATGGAGATGACCAAACCAGGTGGGAGGTGGAGTGGGGACCCTGTGGCTGGTGGTTTTCCACACAGATTCCACAAACTTCTTGTGTGGCCAGTTTCAGTTCCCTCGATATTCACTACCCCCACTAAACAGATATCCTGATATTTAACTTTTTTTGACTTTTTGGGCCCTGGGGTCTCCTTGTACCAGTCCAATGTGACATTGCCCCAGGATGGACGTACCCTTCTAGTAAAATCACACATTTGACCTCAGGAACTGGCTTGTGGTTTAAAAGGCAGCATGGATTTCAGAGGATGGCCTCACTGTGTTTGGACAGTGCTGAAAAATGGAGGGATGTAACATTGGCAGCTGGTTTAGACATTGACTTCATGGAGAATTGAAAACAAGGAAACTGTCACATTTGGTCCATAGTGTCACAAATAGGGTTTTGACTGAACTCAGGGGACATTGGGGCGGTTTGCTAGGATCTTTCCTGTGCCCTAGATGGCTGACCCCACAGTTTCAGCTTTGTTCTTTCTTTTCTTTTTGTAGTCTGGGTCTCACTATGTTGCACAGGCTGGTCTTGAACTCCTAGGCTCAAGTGATCTTCCTACCTCAGCCTTTCAAAGAGCTGGGAGAATAGACATGAGCCATGGCACCCAGTCTTCAGTTTTGTTTTTATTTCATTGATTTATCTCCAGATTCTAGAATAGAGAACATTAAAAATAAAATAAAAAATAAGGAATGGGGCCAAGTGCGGTGGCTCACATCTGTAATCAGCCTGGGCAACATAGTGAGACCTATTCTCTACAAAAAAAAATTTTTTTTTTAATTAGCTGGAAGTGGTGCACACCTGTAGACCCAGCTATTCAGAAGGCTGAGGCGGAAGGATTGATCCTAGGAAGTCACTGCTCTCCAGCCTAGGTTACAGTGAGATCCTAACTCAAAAAACAAACAAAAAGACTGAACTGTAAAAAAAAAAAAAAGAAAGAAAAGAAAAGAAACTGGGCTAGGCTCAGTGGCTCAGCCTGTAATCCCAGCACTTTGGGAGGCCGAGGCGAGTGAATTGCCTAAGCCTGTGGGTTTGAGACCAGCCCGGGTAACTTGGGAGACTTCGTCTCTACAATATATAAAAAGTTAACCAGGCGTGGTAGCATGTGCTTGTAGTTCCAGCTACTTGGAAAGCTGAGGTGGAAGGATCGCAGGAGACCAGCAGGACAACGCTGGGGTGGCTGTGAGCATGTCACTGCACTCCAGCCTGGGTGATGGAGTGACTCCAACTCAAAAAAAAAACCAAAAAAAACCTGAACTATTCTTTAGAGTTGCTGATTATTTTTTTTTCTTAGCAAAGCTGGTTTGAGAAACCCATGCTATTAGACAATTTAAAATCTCACAAGTATTAGCCTAGCGCCCACCACTTTAAGTTGATTCTGGGGTGGAAGAAAGAGAAGCTGGCAGGCTTTAAAAGTAATGGTTTCCTTCCTTTGCTCACTCTACAATCTGGTCTTGACAAACAGGGCCTATATTTCAGGTTTGAGCTTTGGCTGCCGGATGAGTTGACCTAGTTCACAGGCACCCACCTGTGTGGGTTAAATACACCCATTTCCCCTCTCTAAAGGAGGTGCTGAAAGGTGGTGAAGACTGTATACAGGCCCCTAATTAAGCCAGACTTTAAAAGAGCAAACTGGGAAACCAGCTGAGATCATCTTACTTCATCAGGTTCCCACTCCCCCACCCTTCGAACTCCTAAAACGTCACTTCCCCAATTACTCATGTCTGTGACAGGGGTTGATGCAGAGCTTCCTGGGAAAGGAGACCTGAAGGCCACCCTCCTGCCCTGGCCTTTGTATCTCAAGAGAGGCGGAGGCGGGGAAAAGTCCCCGGCCCTGCAAGGCCATTTAAGGAAGGCTGGCTGCTGTCCCTTGCCTGTGGGGCCCACTGGACCTGCCCACACCCACCTGCCAGGTGGTTATGGAAATCCCTGTTTGCTCTCCAGGGCTTTTTATTGGGCGAGCTTTTTCTTCCGAAATGCTTACCTTGGTGTCTGTTACACATTCCCCTCCAAGCCTAGTCCCAGATAAACCAGACGCTGAAGTGATCAGCTCTCACATCTGCCAGAAGCTGCCAAAACCCCAAAATCCCCAAGAGGCACCTGTCACAATGCAGGCTGGGCCTTGCTAGGTTTCCACTCTGCCTCAATCCCACTTCCTTTCAGCAAGGAAGTATGAGAAAGAGCCAGGTTTGTGACTAGCTTGTGACTTTGGGAAAGTCGCTCTACTTCTGTGAGCCTCAGTTTCCCCATCTATAAATTGGTGGGGGTAATACTTACAGGTTTGTTGTGAGAATTCTTTTTTTTTTTTTGGTGAGAATTCTATATGCACATTCATTCAGTCAACAAATGTAAGTGCCTTTTGTATGCTAGCACTGGGCTAGACCCTGGAGTTATAGCCAGTGGGGACATAAATGCAAATGAGAATAAATATGAGGAAAGAAAGCAGGAAGAATCGTGAAACCGGGCCTATTATTTCTCAGGAACATAGCAGAATCTCAAATATTCTTTTGAACAAATGAATGAACTCATGAATAAATCACTACTTTGGCTTATTGTTTCCCTCTCAAACTCTTTGTGGCCTCGGACCAGCGCCTTGAGGTTGATTGTAAATGGACAGGGAAGAGCCTGATCTGATAGAACTTTGTAAGATGCTTGTGAGGGCTGCATGCCCAGTGGGTGGCTGTTGAAGCCACGCGGCAGCGCTAAGTGTGTCCTGGGAATACCGTGACCTAAGTGCTTCCCTCTGAAAGCCATGGAGAGCAGAGAAGGGAGACCTCAAGTCTGAATTCAGAAATGGGAGGGCAGCTCGTCATTTTTAAGTGTTGTTCATCTTTGGTCAATTAAAAATAAATTTGTG